GCAAGACTAACTCCAACTGGTTGTTTTTGCTTTTTTTTTCCCCAGTGATAATTACATGACAGCTGTTTTAGTGTCTGAGGAATCTTATTAACGAACACCCTTCCTCTCCTGGTTTCTGAACCGATTGAAAATTAAGACAAAGGATGAAAGCAGTTAGAGCCTAAGACACCTCCAACCCTTGCCCTCCGCCCCCACCCCGCCACAAATACACACACCTTTATTAGTAACTGAGGTGACATAGAGCACATGGTCCCCTTCTGACCCGCAAATTTGGACAGATTGACCACTGCAGGCATTTACCATTCACTGAGTGCATAACTGAGACATCAGAAAGTAGATGTCTAAGGGCAAGCTCACTTCCAAAAGAAATCAGGAAGGGGTTGGACAGAGAATATCCAGGTTCTGCTTCCAAATCTATCAACCTGATAAGTTACTCCACCTCAGCAGAACAGACAAGGAGGTGGTGATAAAGCAACAGGGCGTTAAGGCAACGGAGAGTGAAGCCCTCAGTCTGGACACCGAGAGGGGAAGACGTGCCCTCCGTCAGTGACAGCGAGCTTAGTGTGCACCAGACCTCTGCAGGGGGCGTTGCCCTCATTTTAGCTTGGGCAATCAGTACACGAATTTTAGGAGGTAGGTACTATTATCACCCTGTTATAAACAGAAAGTAACAGAGCTTAAAGAATTCAGGTAAATTATTCCAAGTCACAGCTAGACGTGACGACACTGAGACCCAAATCTCCCAAGCGCGTTCAGAATAATTTACAATGCTTTGAAACTTCTTTAGATTTTATTTTGGAAATCTAAGACATTGGAGAAGAGAAGGATACACTCCTCAAACGTTAGTCATTGTCAGTGTTCGACTAGGTCTGTGTCCTTGAGCCTAAACACTTCCACGTGGGGAAAGAAGCCTGAACAAGGCACTGAGATGTGAGATAATCCCAGCACCTTGCGTCCCCACCGTCGTCAGCAGGGTACTGTGACTGGTGCCCAGGATGCCGCCTTCACAGGAAGGAAGGTGTTGCTCAGCCTTTGGCCTGAGGAGGGCGCTTAGAGCTCACTTTCATTTAACTCTTCAGGGGAAGTTTCTTACTTGCTTTCAAGGCCCAGAATACTGTCTGCCTTTAACATTTTTAGATAAAAGATTTTCCTTGGTCCCTTGACCATTAGGATTTTTTAAATTTAGCTTTTAACTTTTACAGTGCTTAAACCTCGTTTATTTTTTTTCCCTCTAGT